CTGTAACGACAAAAAATATACATTTAAAGAGCCGTACATGCATGATATAAACCAGAGTTTATGTCATGAGGACATCAAAAGTCCGCCATGAAGAATATCATAATATAATTGATTTTATTTTCAATTGGCTTGAAATCGAACCCTTAGTCGAACTGCAATAAAATGAGTCACACACCAAGTCAGGCAAAACCTGCAATCGACAGAAACGGGTGGTCACGAGGGCTTGTTCTTTGCCATGGCAAAACTTCCAGAAATTTGGCCTCCTCCATGACCCTCGAAGTTTTGAAGACAGTCCTATTCAGAAGTAATTCAATCTTGCGCACAGTTTCCCCATGCGACGATAAAGTCACTTATAACCTTCCAAAGTTCCAAAAGAAGTCTTCTTCACCGCATTCCTCGTGTAGAAAATCAAAATGTATGCTTCTAACGATGTGTTCCAACAGAATCTTCGGCAGCAACAAACGGCTACTGGTTAGGCGCAAACAGCTTGTCGGCGTCACGCGTCTGGCAGTGGAGCGACGGCTCGGCAGTACAAATGGGCGCTCCTTATTGGGCGGCTGTGAGTGTACGCAATTGTCATACAAATCCTAAATAATCTGCCCACCTTACAACTGACAACTTTGGTGATCAGAATTCTTTGAACATGACGAAAGCGAAAACTTTTACTCAGAAGCCTCCTATACCGTCAATAAGCAAATCAAGTCCGACTCCACATTCACGGCATCCTGCCAGTGGCTTTTTCTGACCATACCACTAGATTTTCAAGCCATCATCTACTAGGTCCCCAAACAGTCACTAAATGCGTCGGAAATTAAATCATCTGGCCCAATGGTTTTAAAAGCAATGGTCATAACATAACTCTTTACATAATTTCTACACAGGACATGTCTATTTACGCCAAATACCTCCGGGGATCGCTGTCATGAAATTTCACGTCTCAATATCAACCTCTGTCAACAAGACATGAACTGCTGGCTTGTCGGACTCAACAAGATTTCAAATTATAATAATGTTATCACTGAACAAGTCAAGAGACTCGAAAGACATTAATATTTTGGTCTTTCAATTGATTTTGAAGGCAACAAGAATTCCAATTTTAAAGAGATACTGCCATACTAGCCCATTAAACACCGTGATCCTTCAAGACTTTGTATGCCACATTGCTAGGAACAAGTTCTGGTGGCATGCAGTTTCTTATTTTTCTATTCATCAGAACACTGTGAGTGTGGAGAGAGAACCCAGCAGCCTCTCCCCCTCAAATGTGGAGGAGAACTGCGCTCTGATCAGTCCTCATCGTGGTTGGTCAGTGCACGATTACCCTTGCGAAGAGGCGGGTGTGTATCCTGTGTGCTCTAGGATCCCTATTCGCGGTGAGTAAAGGGAACCTCCAAGTCAAGGTAAAAATATTAAATGAATTAGAATTTGATTTTAAATGATGATTTTTTTCTCTTCCTTCTGATTATTTAATCTCTTGATAAACTTTAGCCCCTAAGGGTTTATTTTGAATCATTAATCGAGAAATATATTTAAGCATAACCGTTTATCAGGCATATGTTAATACGCCAGTGTCCTTCTTGTACTCTACACCAGTTAATGTACGCATGCAGGCTTGTGCGCACATCCATTCGTGCTCGTGGGTACGCAGTGCGTGCACGTGATCCAGGCAGAACATCACTGGGGCGCCGCACGCACCCAGTGTGGACATATCGGTGGAGATTTGATCATTTTGAACGACTGTGATCAGTACCGCAAGGTTAACCTTTACCTCACCAAGCAAGGTAAGCAGACCGGATATTTCATGTATTTTTATAGCTTAACCCTCAGCACCTCCAACTTCAAAACCTTGAGGCTAAGATCAACTCCAACTTGGCTATGTAGGACATTTGCCCACGCATGTGTTCAGAAAAATATGAAAGAGTTACACCACTCTGTTTTGGTTAAATACTTATAAATGAAGTCGGATTATCTAGCGATCAAGTTTCCCATCGGCCAAGCAATATAACGACCCGGGAATCAAGATTTGAATCTCAAAGACTTGTATCAAGCTTGTTTCAAGCATTTTCTTACTTTTTTTTGTCGAGGGACTTCCTTGGCCTTGCAGCAGTTTTGTTGGTAAACGTGTTACCAAATATTTTTCATTGATAGAGTTGCAATACAGCGTCCCCCCTACAGGTTACAGACCCATTGGATTTTGGATCGGCGGCTCAGATGTGGCGGTGCAGGGGCAATGGCGCTGGATTGACGGTTCACCGATGTCCATGGGACTCCCGTACTGGGGCAATGTGAGCAGACGTTATAGTGTGATATATACATATGTATGTATATATAATACACACAGCTCTATGAAGCCTATACAAGTTGGTAAATGCATCGTTTGGCACAGTTATGACGCATGTTTGCATATGCTCCACTTTGCACAGAGCGGTCAACGTCGATTTATCTAAGATGAATCGAACTCAAGTTACGTCTCTTTATCTTTTGATATTAAGATCCCTACAGGCAACAGGTACATAGGTTTTATTTTGTCACCACCTACTGTCACGTTGATGCCCCACCTCAATCACATCTTCTTGAAAGATAGCACGAAAAGTTCGCCTCTTGCCGAGGTTTCGAACCCGCGAGTCAGTGTGTCTATTATTGCTGAGTAATTCGGTCTCTCAGTACTCCTTAAATGATATATTTTTGAAGTAAATTATTCTTTAAAAAACAATAATTTACGAAAAATAGATGAGAAAGTTCACAATGTAAAATTGAATACCAAACCCCTCCGACAGAGTGGTGAAGGTGAACCAGAACCCGACGAGCCCGGCGTAGAAAACTGCCTGGAGCTCAGTTCTGTGTGGATGTATCGCTTCTCCAACACTATGTGCAACA